TACAACAATTAGTCATAGATTATAACTCTAATAAAATGATTACTTATAAATCTAATGTGTAGGATCTAATGTGTAGAATAAAGCCAGAAAATTGTGATGGAGAAAACAAAATAATGTAAAGGAGAGATATATCTTGGGGATTTTTTGGGGGGGACTTTTGCTATGTGGTAACCTAGGCTGTCCTCAAACTTGTGGTGATCCTCCTGCCTCAGCTTCCTGAGTGCTGGGAGTACAGGTATTTCTCCACTCACTGTACTTATTTTTTTCTTACATTGGAAGATTCCAAACAGTAAATATTTCAGTGATTAATAAATTGATCTATAGATTTAATACAATGAAAATGAAATTCTAGCTGGATATTCTGTATATATGAACAAACTTCTCTAAAATTTACACCAAAGTATAAAGGAATTAGAGCAGGTAAACAGGTTAGGAAAAGAAAAAATAATTGGAGGAGCTATAGCCCCTGATTTGAAAACTACCATGACACACTAATCCAGATAAGATGGTGCTGACAAGTGATAAGACTCACAGATCAGCAGAACAGGACACAGAACATAGTGATACACCCATACAGATACATCATTTGCCTTTTGAGGAAAATACAAAGTAATTCAGTGGGAAATTTGGATCCAGGGTTAGGATAAAATGCTGCCCGTGTGTAAACGATAAACCTTGGTCTCATCCCATACCTTACACAAAAATTCTCAAAATAGTTCATAGATCTAAAACTAAAATATAAAACTATAATATATAAAACTATTCATAGAAAACACAGGAGAAAACCTGTGTTAACTGAAGTTAACCAGTGAGCTCTCAGACATGACACAAAAATTAAATCCTGTAGAATAAAAGAACTGATGTATTGAATGTCATCAAATTTTAAAAACTAAAATTTTAAACTTTTGTGGTGGGGAAAAAATAAAACACCACGAAGAGCAAAACAAAGAGAAAAAGAAAAGCTACAAAATAAGAAATATTTAAAAATTCTGTTTCACAATAGTCATATATGCAGAATAATTCCAGAATAAAATATCAAACAACCCAATTTTTAAAAATTAGCTCAAATTTAGAGTAGTTTGTGAAACTATAGGTAAAGATAGCAAATAAATACATAAAGGGGGTTTCAATATTGTACACCATTAGGCAATTAAAATTTTTAAATCCTGATGTGACAGTCCTATGTGCTTATTAGAATGTTTAAAATTAAAAGTACTGACAACATAGAGAGCTGAGTTATAGATCAATTGGAATTTTCATGATTGTTGGTAGCAACTCCAAGTCACACAGATACTCTAGAAAGCAGCTTCATATAAAGTAAAAATACATTTACTACATAACCCAGAAATCATATTCCTAGATCACAGGAAATAAGTTGTATGTCCATAAATAATACATAGACAATTGACTATGGCAGCTTTGTTTGTAGGAGCTCCTATAAGTGATTCCATTTATAATACATTCTCAAAAACACAAAATATCATAGACAATAGATCAATCGTCATCTGAGGTCATAAATGGGGGCTTGGGAATGTGTGACCCTAAAAGGAGGTCCAGATTGTGGTAGTGAGAACAGTTCTGTGTGTGAAAATTGCATAACTTTACACCAAAGAGAGAAAGTCTATTTTTTACTTTTACAGAATGACTTCAAAAAGAAAAAAAAATACTAATACATTGTTTTCTCAAAACAAAAATGGAACTGTTAGTTCCAGGGTGCATTGTTCTTAGCTGTTCTAACCTGAAATTTCTCTTGCATATGTTCAATATTCCAGTAACATGTCCATTTCCACTAAAGGTATGCTTTCCTACTCACCACGCTCAGTAAAGGTGAGAAATTACTTATTGGCACAGGACAGTTCTACTGCATGGAAAAGCAACATTTTTCCACACAGAATACATTTGTTCAGAGATGCTACTTCATTTATTTCAACTATTTTCCCGTTGTGTTTCATGCATTTTGGTTTTCTCTGATACATAGATTCCAAAGCTCTGCATTTCGTGATATGTTAATTTCTCTGAGTTTCTCCTCAAAATAGGAAGATGTCCTTCACAGGGAAATGCAAATCTCTCTAGACTTAGAATCTTAACTTTTGAATTAGATCATATGCAGCAGGTACGTTTGTTGGGAGGCAGATTATTGGCACTGGGTTCATTTCATTTGGAGCCCAGGAAGGAGCAGTCCCTCCATGAGGGCTTCACGTGGTGCCCAGATCTTCTTGGAGCAATCCCTTGGGGGTAGAACTTTGAAGCTGCCGGATTTCTGTCTGTCTGTCTGACTACTCTGGCTCTATTTCTCTTACTCTGATACTTATATTTAAATGCAAAAAGTTCTACCTGACCATTTAAAAAACACCATGCAGGGTTTCACTGTGTTCTCTTATGCCACTGCAAGATAGGTGTCAGGGTGCTGCTTGTCCTGGTCGTGTTCCAGCGCACTCTGTTCGTGCCACCATGTGCTGCCTTTGAACACAGACATCTCGGGGCAGGAATGCTATTTGCAGACTTTAATCATCATTTTTGTTCAGAAAGTATTGGCTATTGGCTTCATTTTTGTGTTTGTCATGTACAGTATTTTCATGAAGCAGATCTTTCAGTTATTCAAAATTGTTCCTTTATTTTCTCTGCCAATTTTTTTTTTTTTTGGTTGAACAGAATATATTTCTTTTGTCAAGCGCAATATTAGCTATAATTAGCATGGGATTTGGATGAATTCTTTTGCTCAGATATTTCATTTGCCTTGTTTTGTTTCTCATTTCTGTAATAAATTTCTCAAGGCTGTGATCTGTATCTTGGAGTCCTTATCAAACTGAATGCTGTAGATAAACTTTTTGGTTTGACTTTTCGCTCTCTCAAAGCTTCCTGCTGTGTTTGGGCAGACTGTTTCTCTTTTAGCCTATATGATCTGCTAAATAACTAAACAATATTTCTAAGTTTGTATAGAAACAATCCCTTTGCGTATATTTCCAGTTTATAAGTCAGTTTATAAGACTGCAATGAACTGTATTTGTGTCTTGCTAATGTGAAATCCAAGTTTTTGTTTACAATCACATTATTAAAAGCAGCAAAAATATATTTAACCATTTAAACCCAGGATAATCCAAGATGAAATAATTTAAATAATAGTTTTTAAAATAATATTACATTAAATATTTATCCTCTGATCATAGTGTTCTGTGAACTCATTCCGCCCTCCCCACAGTCCTTGAAGGGACTTACTATTGTTAAACTTAGCTGTGAGGGAGGAATGAGATACAGAGCCTCGAAGTAACTTCAGTAAGACATCAAGACTAGAAGCTAGGACAGCAGCAGTAATGGTAAAACGTCTTTCCTTGCCAGCACATTGTAATTCACGAGACACTATGCTCCATGCTTTACCACAGTTTTTCTGTAAATTAGGCCATCTGATCCTTACTGTATAGGTGATAAATTTGGGGCATAGTGGGTGTCCTGCCTCTAGTTCAACACCTAAGCAGAAGGAAGCAGAGCTGGGTTCCAACCCACTGAGGCTCAGGAGCTTCAGTCTGATTCTTCAGTGGATTCTTCAGTGGACTGAAGCTGCCACATCCGTGCAGGGGAATCTTGCGCCCATGCTGGCTCTCATTATGCAAGTGCTGTGGACACTCAAGTTGCATGTGAACCCTGATTTGTGGACCTGCTGGGCTATGCTTTCCTATGACTAAAAAGCTTGCCCGGAAATCAAGTATAAAACACAGAGCCTTTGATTCGAGAAAATGTTCTTTGTCTGGAATTTGGCTTCTTTTATCTCTGTCAAATGTTGCAAAGTAAGTACGGGCCTGATCACCTTTTTCATATTGAAAGAATTATTATGAGGCATTTTGACACTAAGAATATACAAGTTATTTCCCCAAATTTGATTTTTATTTGGTGTGTGATGAGGTCATCCTTGCACATCTGAAATCCCTCTCCTGGATTTGCATCACGTATCTATTCTGTAACTACACACTTATTTGTGAATCCTTCTTATCACTTAAACCAGATTAGAACTTTTCTTCTCCTCACAATCTCAGACTAACCCTGTGATGCTTGGTTTTGTTAGGGACTCCACTTTGAAAATGTTGTCAGTTCTGGGCACAAACAGAAACCTTGCTTTTATAAATGTTTTTCTTTCTAGTTATCACGTTAATATGTACAGTCTTTTCAAATACTCCGCGGAATCCAAGTTCCTATGTGTGTGTTTTGTCCTTCACAGCGCACACTTTACTCTGGAAAGAAAGGTGACGTGTTTAATGCAGGGACTGGCAAACTATAGTCTGCTGCATCATTTTGTAAATGAACTTTTATTAGAACTTAGCTGTCTCATTGCTCATGTTTTTAACATAATTGCATCAACAAAGTTGAGTAATTGCAGGAGACAGTATCTGATGTACAAGGTCTAAAATGTTTAATGACTAATCTGGTACAGAAACTGATAACTGACTCCTGATTTAGAGAAGTATGATGGCACTTTCTTTCTCTTGGTCATAGTAGCAAAAAGCCGCTGTTGATAATTGTATTAAACAGCTTGAGCTTTGTTTTCCTAGGATGGAGAATAAGATAATCTTCCTATGAAGCTTTTCTTTTGAGTCAGCCTTATAATTTCAATTACTCATTCATTCATTGCTTTATAACTTTTCTAAAACTGCTTTGAAAAAAATCTTTCCAATTCTATTCTCTAAAAATGCATGTCCCAGTATTAGTGGAGATATGAACTAAATGTATCTGTTTTGATCATGATTTTTGTTGTTGTTGCTGTGTGTTTTGTTTGCTTGTTTTTAGTACTGAGGACTGATTCCAGGTCTCAGTACATCCACAGCTCTGTCTAAAGTTACATTTTATTTTGAGATAGGCTCTCCCTAAGTTGCTAAGTTGCATAGGCTGGACTCAAACTTATGATTTTCCTGCATCAGCCTCCAAGAGTTTTAAAAATTGTTTACTACTTCTTTGTGCCATGACACCACCACGAAGGTTCATGTTCTCTCTTTTTATGTTCTGTGTTTTAGAAGTTCCTGCAGTTGTTTTTACATAGAGGCACTCACTTTGGAGCAGTGAATGCTTGGGTCTTCATGCAGCCATGGATCTGGATAAGCCATCTGTCTGGGGGTCATTTAAGCAGCGGACCAGGCCATTATTAATCAACTTGAGCAAGAAGAAAGTGAAAAAGAACACTAGCAAACCCCTGGACTTAAGGGCCAAGCATCACCTGGACCGGCGCCTCAGCCTGTCAGTCCCTGACCTTCTGGAGGCTGAAGCCCTGGTGGCAGAAGGCCACCCCTACACGGGACCCCAATCCTCCTATATCTCAGTGCCCAACAGCCTGTCTACGGCAGGGATCGTCCCCAAGAGCAGCAGCAGCTCCTTGAGACAGTCTGAAGAAGAACTGGATTGGAGCCAGGAGGAAACAAGCCATTTGCGTGCGCTGGAAACAGACTCAGAGGAGATCTACACTTCTCCTGAGGAGATCTGGACCTCCAGCCAGGGGCTCCTTGATCACCAGAAGCCTGCCCTTGGAGCAGATGTGCCAGGAGAGCCAGAGGTGAGACCATGCTTGCCCCTTCTTTCCTCTCTTTTTTCCCTCCTCCTTTTCTTCCTTACTTCCCTCCTTCCTTTCTTGCTTTCTTTCTTTCAAATTTTTCATGATGCTTTCAATGCCCTTGGAAAATTTGGCAAGGGGTTCTGTTTGTGGTTGACTTGGATGGGGAGAGCATCATTTAAAAGACTTTAACTTAATGTATTATTGATTATACCCAGTGTTCCCATTAGTTTTAGGGTTGACCTCTGTGTATTTAAAAACAATTACAAACATCCTTTCTAGGATATTTCAGGGCATTAAAAACCCTACTGGATTTTGTTTTTAAATTAAAATGAAATTTGCTAAAAATTTGTTTTTGGGTCCTGGCAAAGAAATTAAGAATGTAACTTTTAGCTTTTTGTTTCAATCTATCTGTTTTTTGTCACTAACCCATTACCCAGACATACTTGGTGATAAACTATGCACCCTTGTATTTCTAAGAAATGTTGGAAGAGTTTGATTTCCTCCTGCTTTATGATGTATATGCATATAATTATAAGCACTTAAGTGTGAGCATCTTCACTGGCATTATCTAAGTAGATCATTTTTTGTTAGTGCAGTGATTTTAACAAAACATTGGTATATTTCATCAAATTTAATGATAGTGCAAATCTAGTGTTTCTAAGAGTTTGTGCAGTGATTTAAACAGTTTTAAAATAATTCCTCCATTAATGATACTGAAGTAGTTTCCAGTGTTGACACATAGGATTGATTTTTGTTTTCAAATTAATGTTAACACTGCATAAAAAACTGCTTATTCAAATGGAATTTTCAGTTTTACTTTTAGAATGAAATTCTATGAATTATACAATTTATTTGGGGAGTGGACTCATGGATATTTGGAGTATGTTGTGACCTTATTCTTTTGTATATGTTACTGAGTCAGGGCAATGTTACCCACCAAAGGATTTAAATATTTTCTCTAGGGACATTAGCATTTATGAAACAATTTTATTAAAATTTTATTATGTTTATTGCTGTTTATAAATTTGAAGTTTGTGTTTGTCTTTTTTCACACCTGAGGCAAAGTAGCCAACATGCACAAGTTAAAGAAAGGTTTATTTTAGCTCATGGTTTGTGGAAGTTTCAGTATATGATAATCAGGTAGCGCCAAGTCAGGGTTGTATGGTAGAGGGGCATCACAGAGAGGAAAGTCCATGGCAGGGTAGCCATGAAGCAGTGAAGTAGTAACAGCCTGCCTTTCATTTCTCCCATTATATTCCTTCCAGGCTACAACCCTATTGGCTGGTGCCACCCACACCCAGGGTGGGCCTTCTATTATCCACACTCAGAATTCTGCTAAACCAATTTAGTTATCACATGCTATTAATCCTACCATCATACACCCTAGATCTAGCTACCTCTGAAAAGTCCTACCTATGAACACATGAGTCTTTGGGGGGACATGTAGATACAAGCCATAACAGTGTTTCCACTGAAGAAAATATATGCTAGTTGGATTAAGAATTACCTTAGTAGGAGATGGTAATGTATTGAATTGTGTCCTGAAATCAAACTTCATCAGCAGAATTAAATGCATTTCTTGAGTTAATACACAAATTAGAAGAATATTTTAAAACTACTGTTATTAAACTTTCAGTACTTATTTTGTTCCTATTTGTTGAATGTTGCTATAGACCAGGCACTGTAAAACACAGAGATTGGTAAGAAGGGCCTCTCCCCCGGCTGGGATCAAGAGGAGCCAACTTTGCACACCTTTGAGCAGAACATAAGAGGCACTTGCACGTAAAAGCTGTGCCTGAAAACTTTCTAAGCCTGGTCTCTTTGCAGTACAGTTGAGGGAGATACTGTAGTGTGGGGGCTGAGAGTATGTCATATCTGAGGCAGGGTCCAAGCTGATGTACAGGACAGCACATATGTCAGGTGAGGAAATATGCTCCACACAGTGTACACAGTGGACTAGAGGCTGAACCATGAGACAGAGGCTTAGTAAGCTTTCTGGAAGAGTAGGCTGTGTTAAGGAGCTACCATGGTCACTGATGGTAGGTGGTTGGTTGCAGTGACCATTTTGTCTTCTAAAAGCTAAGTGCAGGGAATCCAGAAGAAGCAGAGTCCTTCAACAATAGGATATTCTGGATCAGCCAATATTCGCTTTACTAAAACATTGGATTTTAGCTATAGCTCTTGGGAAAAAAATATCCTTTACTACCCTTTTTTTGGGTCAGGAAATAGAACATGAGGACTTAAGGCTGACTCTTTTCCCATTCTCATCACTTGTTCTTTTCAATGGATTCTAATGAGGTAGCAGGTGGATGTAGAGTTCTGCCTACAGTGCTCCCTCTTCTCCTCACCTCCCCATCCCAATCCTGCCTGTACTGGGGGAGCCTCTCTTGATCCCTGAGAGATCAGAATTTATCTCATGCTGCAGAGGAAATACTCCCATTCTTATCTCCTCCACTAGGCTGGATTGATTTGGGGAGTAGGTTCGGGCCCATTCCCTTTCTTTTCCCAGGGTTTTGGACAATGACTATACTGATCAGACAGTCTGTGCTCAACCAGTATTTGTTCAATGTAAGACTCAGTGTGCGTATTCTCAGGTAATAGAAGTGTGTGTGTGTGTGTGTGTGTGTGTGTGTGTGTGTGTGTGTGTCTGCCTGCCTGTGTATATGTAAACTGGATGCTGGCATCACATTCAGAGGTTCACACATGCTAGACAATTACTCTACTACTAAACTACATCCCCAGTGCTTGTTTTTGTTTTTACCATGCATTCTCTTTAGTTTATGATTTAGCTATATCAGTTTACAAAATGTACTCTAACTGAAATCTCTTTCAAAAGGTGAACTGAAACTGGAGAGACGTTTAGGCAATTGTAGATTTTCCATCTACTGATTTTAAATCTGAATTCACTTTTTGGTGTTTTTAAGTAAAGACAGAAGTCCTTTTGAATTCACGTCATCCAAAGTCCTGGAGTCAGATTATCTGTGTCTGGGATCTCACATATCTGTGTCTTCCTTGAAAATGGCCAGCAGCTTTCTGTAACTTGTCATGGAATGGGGACGGATGAGAAGGGAGGAAGGGGTTGGTGTGGCCACCTGGTGTTCATCCAGGACAAGTGGAGGTCTGCCAGGTTTTCTTAGTGTGGTTTACTTTGTTTGTAGCTTTCCAGAGATGACAAGGCAGCGAACATCTGTGGTCCGAAGGGTGCCATTGGTTTGGGTGGGGAACTTGTCTCCCACCTCTTGTGTGTCAGGCTGAACCTGTATTGCTGGGAAGGGATCCTGAGTGCCACTTACGTCTTGAGTTCCATAATCTCTCTCTAGTCCTGCCAGTGACGGCAAAGGGGAAAACTGAGAGTGTCCAGTTATGGGAAATTGGTTTGAAGAGACAAAAGAGGAAAGTAAAGATTAGCAGAAATGAAGATGAGATGTGAGAACATGGGCAGGTGGGGCAGCCCATAGGAGTCAGTTCAGATGTTCAAACAACCATAAAACCAGAGTGGGAGGAAGAAGACTTAGAATAACATATATGCTGGCTTAGGAGGCTTCCGCAAGCTTCTTCTTAAGCCCCAGATTCATCTTGTGCTAGACATGGGATATCCCACGAAAACTTGTCCTTGACATGTTTTAACCCTATCATTTTGCATTGCCAGTGCTGTTTCTCATCTAGTTGCATAGGTTGGAAGCTGGTGAACTGTGTTAGATTGTTTACTTTTCACTTTCTACGAGGGCTTCATGACCCATCTGACATCTATCTCCACCTCAGGTTTCCTTTTTAGCTTCTCTTATGAAAATCTTGCTCCCGCTTCTACGCCCAAGTGAAATCTCCCTCTCACAGGTGATTTGCCCAGTGCAGTACTCAGTGTACCCACCCTTCCCTCATTTGCACAGCACACTGCTGCTATAGAGCTGTAATCTCAGTCTGCTTTGTGCAGAAAGCTGAGGGAGAGGAAGGGATTACAACAGGTAGAGGAGGTAGAGACAGAAGGCGAATCAGTGCTGGGTAAGGTATGCTTGTCTTTGCGAAGGTCAGTGGTCTCTGACCAGTGGTCTTGTTGCTCTGAAGTTTGACTCAGAATAACCAAAAGATCATGAAACTATGCTATCAATTGCAATCACAACAGCCTCACAATGTGGACAAAATACCATGCAGCTATGACATTCTTTTAGCTATAAACAGCTCGTTCTTTATTGCTGTCAAATCAGAAGCAACATCAATTTCATTAATTTTGAGGGAGAAATATTTATCTCAGAGATGAAACACTTCAAGGCTGTTTGTTAGGTTCATTACTTCTGCAGAGTCAACTTGGTTAGAACTCACACTACAGTTGGGAGGCTGGTGAATGCAGATCACTGCAAGGCGGTGGATGGATGTCATGGATGGGGTGTGGCACTCTCATCTCACAGTAAGGCCCCTGAGCTCCAGGTGTGAACAGGACATGCTCACGCTATTTTTAATTTTTTTTATTTTGAAGAGAATAAAACCAAATGTGACAAAACAAAATAGAGTCACTCAAAACAAAAGGATGGACATTGTACTATGACAAAATACAAGGTGATCAACAATGGTTCACATAATGCCTCTTGCTAGCTTCAAAAGAATTGCCCATATCATTAGGTATAATAAAATTGAACAAAACAGTACAGAACAAAATCAATATAAAAGAAACATTTGAGATATACAGGATTTCAAAAGAATATAATAGTCAAACCAAAATGGCTATTACAATGAATCCTATTGTCTTCAAAGTAGTTGCCTATACCCTCAGACTTGATTCTATCAAACATAATGGATTCAAGTAAAATCTGTCAAAACAAGACAGGGAAAGCAGTACAGGGCTTCAGATCAAGTTAATAGGAAATAAAAAATGGTTACCATAATATATCCTGCTATCTTTGGAATAGCTGTCCATGCCATTAAATCTAATACAAGTAGATAATCTGGAACAGAATCTAACCAAACTAAACAAAGTGATGAAAACAATATGGGTTTCAAATCATGAT